ACTGATGGAAACACAAACCTGTAACTGTTTTTGGCATGATGGTAGGATTGCCCTGGTTTTCTTCTTTTTCTGTCACATAAACACCTAAGAAACAGGATATCTTGCTACTCTCCTACTAACATCTTTGGTCACACTTCACAGACACGCACATGCAATATATATATAAACATCAACTAGGTTTTCCGCCTTTTTTCTAAATAGCTCTTGTTCTTTTTTATTTCTTTCTTTCTATTGTCATGGGAAGTGGAAAAGAATCTTTCCCTCCGTAACCAGCGTGTCGAATGAGCTACTAAAAATGCCGGGGAGCAATGGCTAGTAAACCCCCTTCTCCTGTATACAATTACTAAAAAAGAGAAGAAAGAAAGAACTTTATAAAAACTGGGTTGCTTAAATGTGCGTGGATGTAGTGCGGATGACAAGAAACGAGATGATTGCTGATGTTATGAATGCAAAGAAGTGGATGTCCCTGGTCCCTAAGCGAAACAAAGCTGAAGGGGTAGGGAGAGTTTTCAGTGGGGGAAATAAATGGAATTTAAATCGGAGTATCTGAAGAGGTTAGAGCAAAGGAAGGGGTAGCAAGTAATGTTAAATGCTCAGTTATGGTAGGAGAAAAGAGAATATGAATGTGGTAAATTCAGAATTATGTGGATTAAAGTAAAGGTTGGATGCGAGAGTGGGTCATAATAAGCGTGAATTGCACCTTGAGAAGAGAGGAATGCAGAGGAAAGAGAGAGATTTTGGGCGAATGTTAAGTGAAGGTAAAGGAGCCTTGATCCAAGTGAGAGAGTAATTGTGGTAGGGGACATGAATGCTAAAGTAGGAGAAACTTTTAGAGAGGGTGTGGTAGGTAAGATTGGGGTGGCGCAGGTGGTAAATGATAATGGGAGCCCTTTGATTGACCTTTGTATAAAAGGGTTTAGTTATAGGTAATACATATTTAAGAAAAAAGAGGATAAATAAGTATACACGATATGATGTAGGGCAAAATGACAGTAGTTTGTTGGATTATGTATTGGTAGATAAAAGACTGTTGAGTAGTCTTCAGATGTACATGTTTTATAAGGGGCCACAGATATATCAGATCACTTTCTAGTTGCAGCTACCCGAGAGTAAAAGGTAAAGAAAAAATTATTTGGGGTACAAGGAGAATAGAAGGCTCAGGGAAGAGAGAGGTGAAGGATTATAAACTAAAAGAGGAAGGCCATTTTGGTAATATATAAACGGCTATTGTAGGATAGAATGGGCTAATGAGAGCATAGGCAATGGGGTCAGAAGAGGTATGGGGTAGTTTAAAAAAATGTAGTGTTAGAGTGTTCAGCTGAAGTTTGTGGTTACAGAAAGTGGGTGCAAGGAGGGAAGAGGAGCATTGGTGGAATGATGATGTAAAGAGAGATTAAGGGAGAAAAAAAGTTTATCTTATGAGAAGTTTTTACAAAGTAGAAAAGTGATGCAAGGAGGGGAAGAGTATAAATGGAGAAAAAGAGGAGAAGTTAAGAGAGTGGTGAAGCAATGTTAAAAAGAGCAAAAGAGCGGTGGGTGAGATGTAAACAACAAATTTTGTTGAAAATAAAAAAAGTTTTGGTGTGAGATTAACAAGTTAATAAACCTAGAGAACAAAAGGATTGTCAGTAAAAATAGGAGAAGGAGAGTTATGTAAAATGGAGAGTTAAGGTATTGGGAAGATGGAGGGAATATTTTGAGGAATTGTTAAATGTTTATGAAGATAGGGAAGCTGTGAATTCGTGTATAGGGCAAGGAGGAATAACATCTTGTGTAGGAAGTGAGGAAAGACCAGTATGTGAGTGTGGGGGAAGTTCGTGAGGCAGTAGGTAAAATGAAAGGGGGCACGGCAGCCGTAATTGATGGGATAAAGATAGAAATGTTAAAAGCAGGGTGGGGATATAGTTTTGGAGTTTGGTGTACGTATTTAATAAATGTAAGGAAGAGGGTAAGGTACCTAGGATTGGCAGAGAGCATTCATAGTTTTTCCTTTGGTATAAAGGCAAAGGGGATAAAAGAAGAGTGCAAAAATTATCAGGGGGATAAGTCTTGTTGAGTGTACCTGGTAAGGTGTTATGGTAGAGTTATAATTGAAAGAATTAAGAGTAAACAGGAGCATAGGATATCAAGATTGAACAAGGAGGCTTTTAGAAAGGTAGGGGGTGTGTGGACCAGTGTTTACAGTGAAACATATAAGTGAACAGTATTTTAGATAAGGCTAAAGAGGACTTTGTGGCATTTATGATTTGGAAAAGGCGAATGACAGGGTGGGATAGGGGGCATGTGGCAGATGTTGCAAGTGTATGTGAAAGAGGTAGGTTACTCTGAAAGCAGTGAAGATTTTTTTAAGGGGGAGGATAGTGAGGCTCAATTAAGAGTATGTAGGAAAGAGTGAAATTTTTTCCCATAAACAAGTAGGCTTAGACAAGTATGTGTGTGCACCGTGGATGTTTAATATATTATAGATGGGGTTTGTAAGAGAAGTAAATGCTAGGGTCTTATGGCAAAAGCGTGAGTTAAAAAGATTAAAGAATCACACACAAAGGGGGGGGAGTTGTCACAGCTGCTCTTTGCTGATGACACTGTGCTCTTGGGAGATTCATGAAGAGAAGTTGCAGAGATTGGTGGATGAATTTCGTAGGTGTGCAAAAGAAGAAATTAAAGGTGAATACCAGGAAAGAGTAAGGTTAGAGGATAACAAAAAGATTAGGTGATGAAAGATTGGAATATCAGATTGGAGGGAGAGAGTACGGAGGAGGTTGAACGATTCCAGATATTTGGGAGTGGGACGTGTCACAGTCAGATGGTCCTAGAAAATGAGGTGAATCATAGAATTGATGAGGGAAAAAGAGTGAGTGGTGCACTAGGAGTCTGTGGAAGACAAAGAACTTTTGGCCTTTGGAGGCAAAGAGGGGAATGAAAGAGAGTATAGTTATTATAACCAACGCTCATATATGGGTGGTGAAGCGGGGTGATGAATGTTGCAGCGAGGAGAAGGCCTGGAGGCAGTTGGAAATGTCGTGCTGAGGGGCAATGTGGTGGGTGTGAATTATAATGCCAGAGATTCGGTAGATTTTGGAAGTTAGAGGAGGGTGGGGATTACCAAAACTGTTGTCCAGAGGGCTGAGGAAGGGTTGTTGAAGTGGTTCGGACATGTAGAGAGAAATGGAAGCGAAACGGATGACTTCAAGAGTGTATCATCTGTCGTGGAAGGAAGCGGGTAGGGGTCGCTAGGAGGGTTGAGGGAGGGGTAAGGAGGTTTTTGTGTGCGAGGGGCCTTGGACTTCCATCAGGCCATGTGGTTAGCGTGTTTGATAGAGTGATTGGAGACAAATGGTTTTTAATAACTTGACGTGCTGTTGGAGTGTGAGCAAAGTAACACTTTTATGAAGGGATTCAGGAAACCGGCAAGGCCGGACTTGAGTCCTGGAGAAGGGAAAGTACAGTGCCTGCACTCTGAAGGAGGGGTGTAATGTGGCAGTTTTAAAACTGTAGTGTAAAAGCACCCTTCTGCAAGACAGTGATGGAGTGAATGAGGTGAAAAGTTTTTCTTTTCGGGCTCCCTGCCTTGGTGAATCGGCCAGTGTGATAATAAAAATAAAAAAAAATATATATGATATAAATATATAAAATAAATATATATATATATATTATATATATATATTTTTTTTTTTTTTTTTTCAACAAGTCAGCCGTCTCCCCACCGAGGCAGGGGACCCAAAAAAGAAAGAAAATCCCCAAAAAGAAAATAAATATATATATATATATATATATATATCATATATATATATATATATATAATATATATAAATATATAAATATATTTATATATAAAATAAATAATATATATATATAATATATAATACAACACACACTCACACACACTTGGGGGTTTCTTCTATTTTTCTTACCTATGCCGCTCTTGTTCTTGATTTTTTCCACTTATCTCCATGGGGAAGTGGGAATAGAATTCTTCCTCCGTAAGCTATGCGTGTTGTAAGAGCGACTAAAATGGCCGGGAGCAAGGGGCTAGTAAGCCTCTTCTCCTGTATATATTACTAAATTAAAGGAGAAACTTTCGTTTTTCCTTTTGGGCCACCCCGCTCGGTTGGATAACGGCGGTGTTGAAAGAAAGAAGAAATATATATATATATATATGATTGAAAGGTGGACGAATATACTTGGGACCTACGATCTGTTGGAGTGTGAGCAGGGTAATATTAGTTGAAGGGAATCAGGAAACCGTTATTTTCTATAGTCGGAACTTGAGTCCCTGAAATGGGAAGTATCAATGCCTGCCACTCTTAAAAGGAGGGGTTTTGGGATATTGAGTAGTTTGGAAGGGATATGTTGTGGTGATCTCTATACGTATATGCTTCTAACCTGTTGAATCTGAGCACCACTTCTGCAAAAGCAGTGATAATTGAGTGTGGTGAAAGTGTTTGAATGATGATGAAAGTAATATTCTTTTTGGGGATTTTTCTTTCTTTTTTTTTTTTTGGTCACCCTGCCTCGTGGGAGACGGCGACTTTTTGAGAAAAAAAAAAAAAAAAAAAAAAAAAAATAATATATATATATATACAACACACTCACCACTTCTGGGTTTCTTCTATGTTTCTTACTAGCTCTTGTTCTTGTTTATTTCCACTTATCTCCATGGGGAAGTGGAACAGAATTCTTCCTCCGTAAGCCATGCGTGTCATAAGAGGCAACTAAAATGCCGGGAGCAAGGGGCTAGTAACCCCTTCTCCTGTATATATTACTAAATGTAAAAGGAGAAACTTTCGTTTTTGCTTTTGGGCCACCCGGCCTCGGTGGGATGCAGTCAATGTGCTGAAAAAAAGAATTAGGGTAAAATGGTTTACTAGACATTTTAAATGATTACAGCATCAAGCAATTCTTTGATTCTCTTGTCCTTTAACTATCTTAGAAGCTATAATGATAACTTACACATAACTTGCACAGAAACTTCTCCTAAATAAAGAGAAAAGCAAACTTACCCAACTTCCACTAAGCTATGAGCATTTCGGTTCCATAGCGAAATCTGGATTTCCCCTGCAAAATCATATGAAATGGCACCATTGAGAAGAAGCTCTGCATTTAAACCATTCTGTAATGGCACAACCTGCAAGTGGTCTTGAAGTAACAGTGACCCCTGTAAGGAAAAATGTCATTTACATAAGTCTTACAAGGCAAAAATCATTCAAATATTCTTATAATTTTAATTTTTAATATACTAAATCAATAATAATTATAAATGATCCTTTCATTAATCCCTCTTTCCTAAAATTCGTAATGCAACTTTATTTAGAAAACATGCACTTAAATTTTAACAGGATGTTCTCAGCACATTTACCTGAAGAGCAGTTGTCCTTTCTGAACCTGTACCAGACCCACACAGCACCATTAAATCACCCGAAACCAGAGAAAAATACAAAGGGACGCAGCTGGGTATCCATGAGTGTGATCTCGATACCAGCATTAGCATCTTCCCCATCATCGATCGCATCTTCACCACTAAACACAGAAAGACCACCAGCAAAGATACCAAACTATTGGATACAAAATGATTGAAGCTATTAATAAATTTCATGACAATATCATGTACAATATGCATTTAGAATGTGACAGTTATTTAAAATTAACAAACAATTAAAAACAGGATCTAACTCATCAGAATCACTAAGATGACCAGGAGAAAATCTGGTTTACAATGCTCGATATCTCTCTATATCTTTGATGATGTGCAAAGTGAGATATAACTGAAATATAAGAATGAGTTAACAGATAAATCCTAATACATGAATATAATTGAAAAGTAATCTAAACAAAAGGAACTAACAATGACTTCCAATGTAATCAAGTGGCCATCACTGCATATCATCTGTAATAAAATACATACATAATTGCAAAAGAATGCAAATTAATAATTAATTTTAATATTTTAGCAGTCAAAGATTGAATGGTTTGTGGAAATGCCTATGCAATATACACATATATATATATAGGTACACGCTGATACAAAATAGGAGTTTTCACAGTTCTCTTGGGAAAATTGTTTACTTTATTTTTTTCAGCAAACTGGCTGTATCCCACAGAGGCAGAGTGACCTAAAAAGAAAAACAAAAGTTTTTTGTAAATTTGGTAATTTATACAACAGATGGGGTTACTAGACCCTTGCTCCCAGCATTTTAGTTGCCTCTTATGACACACAAAATGCTTATGATGCACATTTTAGTTACCTATGACACACAAAATGCTTAACAAAGCTTGTAAAAAGAATTACAAAAAGTAAAAAAAGAAAGGGGTGATAAATTTAACAGTTTAAAAGTTAAGGACAAATTACAAGAAAGGGATAATTAAATATGTAAATGATGGCAGCCACCAAGAGAAAGATTGTGTTTAAATAAATGAATGTAAACAGGTTGTGAAAACATGAAAATGAAAAAGTTAGTTAGGTTTTTCTATTTACAGAGCACTAGAGCAATAATTATTATTATTATGCTTATTGCCACTGACATACCTTGTTCACTGAGTTCAATCATTCCTAACTCGATATTTACAACTTGGCTTACAACTCCTCTTTTTATCACAACTACCCTTAGATGCCGTCGTAAATGAAAGAGAATGAGTTAACAAGAGAGACACGGAGAATGTAAACAGACTGAGAGTGAATGGGTGGTGGGCGGTCAGACAAATGTGTATTCATACCTGTCCACTGGCTGTTCATATGCAATGATTCTGCATTATGCATGCGTTTGTGAAGCTTTTTCCCTACAATACAAACACCTTACATAGTGTACAATTTTTGTTGGGGAAAAAAACTTTTTGGGGTTGAGTAAAATTTTAAATTTAATTTCCAATTCTCTTCAACACAAAATTTTTTAATTTATTTTTTTTTTTTTTTTTTTTTTTTTTTTTTTTTTAGGGTTTTTTAAAAATTTTTTTTTTTTTTTTTAGGTTTTTTTTTTTATTTGTACCTCACCCCAAAACAGAAAGTTTGCTTGGGTTTTGGGGGTAATATAATTTACAATTATGTTAGAGAGGAGTGGTGGAGTTTGAATGGTTTCGGGAACTTGAGAGTTGGGGGTGTGAGCAATTTATATTTCATGAAGGGATCCTAGAAGGGGGGAATTACAATCCTTTCCCTTTAAAAAAAGGGGTTTGGGGAAAATTTCCCAAATTTGGGAGTGGAAACATCTGCTTTATCATATCTACACACCTCGGGCCAAAGACAGTAAAATTAGGGTGTGAGTGATGGAAATTTATGTTTTTTTTCTTTTTTGGGGTCCCCCTTTTTTGGGGGGAGATAGCCAGCATTTTGGGAAATTTTTTTTTTTTTTTTTTTTCAACAAGTGGGGTTGGGGTTTTTTTTTTTTTTCCCCCACCGGGGCCCGGGGGAACCCCAAAAAAAAGGAAAAAGAAAAATCCCCAAAAAGAAAATACTTTCATCATCATTCAACACTTTCCCCCACACTCACACTTTATCACTGCTTTTTGAAAGAGGTGCCCCAGAATACAACGTTAAAGAAGAAATTATCGTTTAGAGTTTCACCAAAATTTTCCCCCCAAAAAGGGCCAAAAATCCCCAAAACCCCCCCTTTAAAGTGCAGGCATTTTACTTCCCATTTCCAAAGGGCTCAAATCCGAATATGAAAAAAAAACCGGTTTCCCTGGAAACCCCTTTACTAAAAAATTAAACCCCGCTTTACCTCCAAAGATCGCAGGTCCCAAATATCATTTTTCTCCCTTCACTCCCCATCTAACACGTCATGCACGCTTGTGGAATTTCCCAAACCCCCCCCACCCAAAAAAACCTCCTTTACCCCTCTTTCCAAACCCCTTTTGAGGGGCGACCCCTAACCCCCCTTTTCCCTTCCCCCAAAGGGTTTATATGCTTTCCATGTCATTCTACTTTGACCATTTTCCTCAAAATACCAAACCAACCCCAACAACCCCTTTTTTTTTTTTTTTCTGCCCTTGAAATAATGTTTTTTTTTAACCTCCACACCTTCTCCTTTAATTTTCCACACTCGGGAAATTTTTTGCTTTAAAAATTTTCACCAAACCTTGCCCTTTAAAAAGGGGGGGGGAAGGGGGGCCCTCTCCATGGCCCCCCAACCGTCTCCCTCGTGCTCTTTTTCCACCCAAACTTCACACCCATATAAGAGGTTGGACTACTATACTTTCATTCATTCCCTTCTTTTCTCCATAGATTAAAGTTTTTTTTACTCCCCATATACCTCAACCACCACCACCCCCTTTTTTCCCTCATCAATTTTAAAGATTAAAACCCCATCCTTCATAAATTCCCTCCCCCGACACGGGCAAAATCCCAATAAACTGAAAAAAATTCCCCTTCTTTTCCATTCTCCTCCTCCCCAATTTTTATTTTCCAATTTTTCTTTATCTAAAACATTTTTACCCCCCTCCCCACCTTACTCTTTTCTATGTTCACTTCCCAAATTTCTACCTTTTTCAAAACAAATTTCAAACTTTATCCACTTTTTTAACGCTTGAAAATTTTTGGAAAAGTTTTCCCGACATTTAAATGTTTAGATACAGAGTATCTAAACCCAAAAAGAGTTGGGAAAGGGAATGTCATAACAGCAAAAATTTGGGGCCATATAAAACAAACTTTTTGTTATAATTTGAAAAAAAGTCCTAATTTGTGAAAACACCGTAAAACGAAAATGCCATTAAAATGGGGGCCCCCCTGTTTACTGACAAAACATTTTTTGTGCTTTGCAGGGTTCGTATTGCCCAAAACCCCTTGTTTAAAAAAATTACAATAGAAATGACAATTGCAACAAAAAAAACCTTAAGAGTATATAACTTACCGAGAAAGTCTCTTTTTAGCATCAGGGGTTTTCCACAAAAAAAGGGAACTGTAGATCGTTTTAGAAGACCCCCTTGAATTTCCAGCATGTTACTGAAGGAAGAATTGGCACTTTTATCTTCATAAAGCATACGTGAGAATGCTGAAGAGACTCCATTTTGGCCCAATATGTGGTAATTATTGTATTGCGGATCTTTCAAGAGTTTATTTAACATCTGCAATTTGAATTTAATAGGTAAGTCTTGAGCAAACCATGTGTATTTAAATAATAATGCAAATTATCTAAAGATATACTAGTTAAATTCATAACAATCTAAACAAATCAAGTCTTAGTCTAGATATCTATACAGTGCAGTATAATACACAAAATTTCCTGTAGTCTTTCAAAGATATCAATGAAAACTGTGTACTGTATACAGTGGTACCTTGACTTATGAGTTTAATTCGTTCTTTCACCGAGCTCGTAACTCAATTTGCTCATATATGAAATCAGTTTTCCCTCGATGAAATTAATTGAAATGCCATTAATCTGTTTCAGTCCCCCAAAAAACCACCCCAATGTTTTTGTTATGGGTTTTTAAGTAAGAAAAATATATTTATAAATAAAAAATATTGTATACTCCATCCACCACCTTCACTATTCTACCCACCACCATCTCTACTCCATCCACCATTATCACTACTCCAACCACCACCCCCACTACTCTACCCACCACCATCTTTACTCCACCCACTACCTTCACTTCTTCACCCACCACCATCTCTACTACACCCACCACCCTCACTACTCCACCCACTACTATCTCTACTCTAGCCACCACCTTCACTACTCCACCCACCACCATCTCTACTACACCCACCATCATATCTACTCTACCCACCACCCTCACTACTCCATCCACCACCCTCACTACTCCACTCACCACCATCACTACTCCATCCACCACTATCAGTACGCCATTCACTTTAAATAATGTTTCTGGAAAAACTCTGAGTGTTGAAATGGAGGATGCCTCTTCCCGGATTTATACGAGAACCAAACAAAGGACAAGGTGCCCCGCTACAATCTGGGATTAGTGTGGGAGTATTATTCTTCCAGTTATGTCTTGGAAGAGCATGTGGGATAAGATGAAGTACCTGGCATTCCTCTGGGTACAGAGTTGGATTTGACTTCAGATATGCCGCCAATTAGCGGCGGCGTATCTGAGCTCACTCGTAACTTGAATTTTGGCTCACAACTCAAAGCAAAAAATCGACCGAGTGATGGCTTGTAACTCGGAAAACTCGTAAGTTGGTGCACTCGTAAGTCAAGGTACCACTGTACTGACATATTACAATTACTAAAGATTAAGGGTCTAACTCTTATTATTATTATGAACAGCTTATTCAATATTTTGAAGGTCACCATGAAAACAATGCCAACAACTGATAGTTCTCACAAAAAATAATGAAATGATTTTGCACTTTTTTTTTTTTTTTTGTACTGGTACTGAAACAAACAAAAGTCACTCTAAGCAAAGAAACATAAGTATGAATATTCACATATAGTGGGCAACACTGCATCTGACTTACCAACCTATATATATAATATATATTATATATAATATATATATATATATATATATATATATATATATATATATATATATATATAATATATATATAATATATATATATATTATATATATATATATATATATATAAATATATATATACAGTGGTATATTTGCACTGTACAGTACAGTGTGGCGGTGCCACAAAATTGGATACATTATCAGTGTGCTGCTACTTGGAATAAAAATGTATCTCAATTAGATGTTATTACCTGTTGTAAATATTTACTGCTCTGAGATAAATCATACAGTCGACCCAAAAGCAGTGTATTAAGTTCTTTGGAATCTTGCAAGGCCATCATTTGGAGTATCACCCGTAAAAGGTCCTCGCTGGGATTATGGCGAAGAAGAATATCTACTGCCATGGCTCTGACACTTGAATCATGTTTAGAGCGCAGCTCCAAGAAAATTCTTTCCATTGTTACACAAACCTAAGGAAGATGTAGCTTATAGGATTATGAACCTTAACTATTCTACTTCAAAACCAACAATCAATATACAGCAAATATGAGGACATGGTAGAATAGTCTTAAATAATCCAAGACAACATTTCCAGCTTGGGTAGGGATACTGTAGTTGGTAACTAAATATTCATGGCTGGAGAAGAATATGACTTATCCTAAAATGTCTCTGGTGGACAATACTTATGTAGAGTACTTATGTGACTTGTGAAAATAATACAGCATACCAAGAGACTAATCGTAAGAAAACGATAATGACAAATTTAAATATAAAATTAATGTTGTAAAAATCTAAATTAAAAAAATCAAGTAATATAAAACAAAAAACTTGTATGATTATCTCTGAATGAAGAATATTAATTGATGTATGTAAAGGTATTTGGTTTACATATATTACCTCTTTGGTTATATAGCTATCAGGCATGGTTTGAAGGGCACGTGTAGCATAAATGGCAGGTTTACGAGCCTCCCCTTCAGCAAATTCAAGTAACACATTCACTGTGTCTGCCATTCGTAAATTTTTCAACCCACGTATATACATTAGTTGACAGAGTTCATCATCACAGCTTCTTAACTTCTCAACAAGAAAGTTCCTCACCTCTGAAACAATCTAAAGCCTAACTGTCAACATTTATGCCAAGAAAGAAGCCTTCAAACTTACATACTTTAGCAAAATTTTTAAAATTTTATATATAGAGGTAACATAAATTAAGGGTATGAACATTTATTTTCTGCTAACAAATGAGACATTTCCTGAGCTCACCGGCTGCTTCATGTTGTTGGGTGTCCTGGAGAAGGTATGAGTCAGTGAAGCTACAGTAAGTACCAGAGTCTCATACAACTTGTCATTGTTGTGGCCCTTTTTAACAAGCTTCATTATGTCTGTACAATATATAAAAATTAAAATGAAGAAAAGATATTTTGTAAAACGACATATTCTTATGTGAAGAACAAGCTATCCCGAATATACACAAGTATTATTTATAAACCAAGCAACAAACAGCAAAAGCTTGATTTAATGGACTTTAATATAACAGATGTTTTATTAACAGACAAAATTCACTGTCCAAACAAATCTGGAAGCACTAGATAAAGTCCAACATCCAGAACTACATATCTGGTATTGTTACAGTTCATTTTGTAAATTATAGGATTTAACAAAGTTTGCTATTTCCAGAATTGTCAATTACTGTTATGGTGTACTTGGGAAGTTAATTTTGGATTCAGCAGACGAAGTTCATGAAATCCAGAATGTCCATTGTTGCTATGACCATGGAGAAACAATCTCATCATTCAGATTTAACACCTGACATTACCAGACACCCTCTCTTTTCCCTATTAGTCCATCAAATCAAGGTCTCAGTTTTATGAACATATTTTTTCTATTCTGTGTATATTTCTAATTATATGTACTGTACTAGCCTCTTATTTTCAACTACATTTAAGCCTGTAAGACTTTTTTTTTTTAAATACGTCGGCTGTTTCCCACCAAGGCCGGATGAACAAAAAAAGAAAGACCCAAAAAAGAAAGAAAAACCAACACAATCACTGTCTTTAAAGTGCAGGCATTGTACTTCCCATTTCCAGGACTCAAGTCTGACTAACCGGTTTCCCTGAATCCCTTCACAGAATATTACCCTACTTACACTCCAACAGGTCGTCAGGTCCCAAAAACCATTCATCTCCATTCAATCCTATTTAACACGCTCATGCACGCTTGCTGGAAGTCCAAGTCCCTCGCCCACAAAACCTCCTTTACCCCCTCCCTCCAACCTTTTTGGGGATGACCCCTACGCTGCCTTCCTTTCCCTACAGATTTATACGCTCTCCAAGTCATTCTACTTTGTTCCAGTCTCTTTAAATGACCAAACCACCTCAACAGCCCCTCTTCAGCCCTCTGACTAATACTTTTAGTAACTCCACACTTCATCTTAATTTCCACACTATGAATTCTCTGCATAATATTTACACCACACACATTGCCCTTAGACAGGACATCTCCACTGCCTCCAGGCACCTCCTTGCTGAAGCATTCACAACCCATGTTTCACACCCACACAAGAGTGTTGGTACCACTACACTCACGTACATTCCCTTCCCTGCCTCCATGGATAACGTTCTTTGTCTCCACAGATACCTCAACACACCACTCACTTTTTTCTTTCACCAATTTTATGGTTAACCTCATTATTCGTAAACCCATCCACTGACAAGTCAACTCCCAAATATATCTGAAAACATTTGCTTCTTCCATACTCCCTCCCTCCAATGTGATATCCAACCTTTCTTTATCTAAACCGTTTGATACCCTCACCACCCTACTCCTATCTATGTTCACTTTCAACTTTTTACCTTTACACACCCTCCCAAATTAGTCCACTAACCTTTGCAACTTTTCTTTAGAATCCCCCAGAAGCTCAGTATCATTAGCAAAAAGTAACTATGTCAACTCTCATTTTTTATTTGATTCCCCATAATTTAATCCCATCCCTTTTCACAACACCCTAGCATTTACTTCCTTTACAACCCCATCTATTAATACAGTGGACCCTCAGCTAACGATATTAATCCGTTCCTGAAACCTCATCATAAGCTGAATTAATTTTTCCCATAAGAAATAATGGAAATCAAATTAATCCGTGCAAGACACCCCCAAAGTATGAAAAAAAAAATTTTTACCACATGAAATATTCATTTTAATACACACAAACTGACACTTACCGTTATTGAAGATCTGGTGATGATTGATGTGATGGGAGGAGGGGAGAGTGTGGAAGTTGTTAATGTTTAGAAGGGGAATTCCCTTCCATTAGGACTTGAGGTATAAAGTCCTTTTCCGGGGTTACTTCCCTTCTTCTTTTAATGCCACTAGGACCAGCTTGAGAGTCACTGGACCTCTGTCGCACAACAAATCTGTCTATTGAGGTCTGTACCTCCCGTTCCTTTAAGATTAGCCTAAAATGGGCCACAACATTGTCATTGTAATAGTCACCAGCATGGCTTGCAATAGCTGTGTTAGAATGATTTTCATCTATAAAGGTTTGCAGTTCAACTCACTTTGCACACATTTCCTTAATCTTTGAAGTAGGCACAATGGATTCCACAACTGGCATAGGCATCTCAGGGTTAGCCCCAAACCCTTCAAAATCTTTCTTAATTTCCATACTAATTCTCACCCTTTTTATCACAGGGTTGGCACTAGAAGCTTTCTTGGGGCCCATGGTGGCTTATTTTGCAGGTACAATCACTAAAAACGCTGTGATTATGTGAAATGTTCCGATTGTATGCATGGATGCGACCACACTGGCTGGCTTGTAAACACTGGCACCCATGGGACAACTGAGGCGTGCTCATCTCGAACGAATAGTGTTGGGCGAGTTTTTTAGTGTTAGCCGAGGCAAAATTTTTGCATTAAAATGTATCGTTAGCTGGATTTAACTTTAGCTGATGCCATCGTAGCTGAGGGTCCACTGTATGTTAAACAACCATGGTGACATTACACATCCCTGTCTAAGACTACTTTTACTGGGAAGTAATCTCCCTCTCTCCTACACACCCTAACCTAAGCCTCACTATCCTCATAAAAACTCTTTACAGCATTTAGTAACTTACTACTTACTCCATACACTTGCAACATCCACCACATTGCTCCCCTGTCCACTCTATCAATTGCATTTTCTAAATCCATAAATGCAACAAAAACTTCCCTACCTTTATCCAAATACTTTTCACATATATGCTTCAATGTAAACACCTTATTTACACATCCCCTACCTATTCTAAAGCCTCCTTGCTCATCTGCAATCCTGCTCTCTATTTTTATTTTTTTTTTTATTATCACACTGGCCGATTCCCACCAAGGCAGGGTGGCCCGAAAAAGAAAAACTTTCACCATCATTCACTCCATCACTGTCTTGCCAGAAGGGTGCTTTACACTACAGTTTTTAAACTGCAACATTAACACCCCTCCTTCAGAGTGCAGGCACTGTACTTCCCATCTCCAGGACTCAAGTCCGGCCTGCCAATTTCCCTGAACCCCTTCATAAATGTTACTTTGCTCACACTCCAACAGCACATCAAGTATTAAAAACCATTTGTCTCCATTCACTCCTATCAAATACGCTCACGCATGCCTGCTGGAAGTCCAAGCCCCTCGCACACAAAACCTCCTTTACCCCCTCCCTCCAACCTTTCCTAGGCCAACCCCTACCCCGCCTTCCTTCCACTACAGACTGATACACTCTTGAAGTCACTCTGTTTCGCTCCATTCTTCTACATGTCTGAACCACCTCAACAACACCTTCCTCAGCCCTCTGGACAACAGTTTTGGTAATCCCGCACCTCCTCCTAACTTCCAAACTACGAATTCTCTGCATTATATTCAAACCACACATTGCCCTCAGACATGACATCTCCACTGCCTCCAGCCTTCTCCTTGCTGCAACATTCATCACCCATGCTTCACACCCATATAAGAGCGTTGGTAAAACTATACTCTCATACATTCCCCTCTTTGCCTCCAAGGACAAAGTTCTTTGCCTCCACAGACTCCTAAGTGCACCACTCACACCCTTTCCCCTCATCAATTTTATGATTCACCTCATCTTTCATAGACCCATCCACTCCCAAATATCTGAATACATTCACCTCCTCCATACTCTCTCCCTCCAATCTGATATCCAATCTTTCATCACCTAATCTTTTTGTTATCCTCATTACCTTACTCTTTCCTGTATTCACTTTTAATTTTCTTCTTTTGCACACCCTACCAAATTCATCCACCAATCTCTGCAACTTCTCTTCAGAATCTCCCAAGAGCACAGTGTCATCAGCAAAGAGCAACTGTGACAACTCCCACTTTATGTGTGATTCTTTATCTTTTAACTCCACGCCTCTTGCCAAGACCCTCGCATTTACTTCTCTTACAACCCCATCTATAAATATGTTAAACAACCACGGTGACATCACACATCCTTGTCTAAGGCCTACTTTTACTGGGAAATAATTTCCCTCTTTCCTACATACTCTAACTTGAGCCTCACTATCCTCGTAAAAACTCTTCATTGCTTTCAGTAACTTACCTCCTAAACCATACACCTGCAACATCTGCCACATTGCCCCCCTATCCACCCTGTCATACGCCTTTTACAAATCCATAAATGCCACAAAGACCTCTTTAGCCTTATCTAAGTACTGTTCACTTATATGTTTCACTGTAAACACCTGGTCCACACACCCCCTACCTTTCCTAAAGCCTCCTTGTTCATCTGTTATCCTATTCTCCGTCTTACTCTTAATTCTTTCAATAATAACTCTACCATACACTTTACCAGGTATACTCAACAGACTTTTTTTTTTTTTTTTTTTTTTTTTTTAACAAGTCGGCCGTCTCCCACCGAGGCAGGGTGACCCAAAAAAGAAAGAAAATCCCCAAAAAGAAAATACTTTCATCATCATTCAACACTTTCACCACACTCACACGTTATCACTGCTTTTGCAGAGGTGCTCAGAATACAACAGCTTAGAAGCATATACGTATAAAGATACACAACATATCCCTCCAAACTGCCAATATCCCAAACCCCTCCTTTAAAGTGCAGGAATTGTACTTCCCATTTCCCATGAACATAACCGGTTTCCCTGAATCCCTTCACTAAATATTACCCTGCTCACACTCCAACAGATCGTCAGGTCCCAAGTATCATTCGCCTCCATTCACTCCTATCTAACACGCTCATGCACGCTTGCTGGAAATCCAAGCCCCTAGCCCACAAAACCTCCTTTACCCCCTCTTTCCAACCCTTTCGAGGACGACCCCTACCCCTCCTTCCTTCCCCTATAGATTTATATGCTTTCCATGTCATTCTACTTTGATCCATTCTCTCTAAATGACCAAACCACCTCAACAACCCCTCTTCTGCCCTCTGACTAATGCTTTTATTAACTCCACACCTTCTCCTAATTTCCACACTCCGAATTTTCTGCATAATATTTACACCACACATTGACCTTAGACAGGACATCTCCACTGCCTCCAACCGTCTCCTCGCTGCTGCATTTACCACCCAAGCTTCACCCTATAATTTTTGCACTCTCTTTTGTCCCCTTTGCCTTTATACAAAGGAACTATGCATGCTCTCTGCCAATCCCTAGGTACCTTACCCTCTTCCATACATTTATTAAATAATTGCACCAACCACTCCAAAACTATATCCCCACCTGCTTTTAACATTTCTATCTTTATCCCATCAATCCCGGCTGCCTTACCCCCTTTCATTTTACCTACTGACTCACGAACTTCCCCCACACTCACAACTGGCTCTTCCTCACTCCTACAAGATGTTATTCCTCCTTGCCCTATACACGAAATCACAGCTTCCCTATCTTCATCAACATTTAACAATTCCTCAAAATATTCCCTCCATCTTCCCAATACCTCTAACTCTCCATTTAATAACTCTCCTCTCCTATTTTTAACTGACAAATCCATTTGTTCTCTAGGCTTTCTTAACTTGTTAATCTCACTCCAAAACTTTTTCTTATTTTCAACAAAATTTGTTGATAACATCTCACCCACTCTCTCATTTGCTCTCTTTTTACATTGCTTCACCACTCTCTTAACCTCTCTCTTTTTCTCCACATACTCTTCCCTCCTTGCATCACTTCTACTTTGTAAAAACTTCTCATATGCTAACTTTTTCTCCCTTACTACTCTCTTTTACATCATCATTCCACCAATCGCTCCTCTTCCCTCCCGCACCCACTTTCCTGTAACCACAAACTTCTGCTGAACACTCTAACACTACATTTTTAAACCTACCCCATACCTCTTCGACCTTCGACAATGTTATGAAGAGTAAATTGTGTGTGTTTTGGAAATCTAATAGTAAGGCATGGGTCACGAGGGAAATTTTCGTCGAGTGGTTCAATGAAGTGTTTGGCCCTAGTGTGAAGGAGTATCTCCTGGAAAAGAAATTGGATCTCAAGTGCGTGCCAGTAATGGACAATGCACCTGCTCATCCTCCAAACTTGGATGACCTAATTTTCGAGGAGTTTGGGTTCATCACAGCAAAGTTCTTGCCCCCGAATACCACTCCTCTCCTCCAACCCATGAACCAGCAGGTTATTGCAAACTTTAAAAAACTCTACACAAAAGCAATGTTTCACAGGTGCTTGACTGTGACCACAGACACTCACTTGACCCTAAGGGAATTTTGGAGAGAACACTTCAGCATCCTCCACTGCATAACCCTTATAGGTATGGCTTGGGAGGGAGTGACTACCAGGACTTTGAACTCTGCCTGGAGAAAATTGTGGCCAGACTGTGTCGACAAGAGGGATTTTGAAGGATTTGGGACTGACCCTAATGAGCCTATGTCTGTTGTAAAATCAATTGTGGCACTGGGGAGTTCCATGGGGTTGGATGTGAGTTTGGAGGATGTGGAAGAATTGGTGGAAGACCACAATGACGAGCTCACCACTGAGGAGCTGCAAGAGCTTCAGCAGGAAGAGCAACACATCGCAGCTCAGAATCTTGCTGCAGAGGAGGAGGAAGAGAGATGGAAGAAGGTGCCTTCTTCAGAAATTAAAGAGATTTTTACTATGTGGGGTAAGATGGAAAGCTTTATGGAGAAACATCACCCTAACAAGGTTGTTGCAAGCCAGGTTAGCAACATGTACAGTGACAAAGTCTTGGGCCATTTTAGGGAAGTGTTAAAGAGATGCCAGAAACAGAGCTCTCTCTCCACAGTTATTTTGTGAGACAGGACTCCAGTGACTCTCAAGGTGGTCCTAGTGGCATTAAGAAACAGAGAAGAGAAGCAACCCCAGAAAAGCAAATGGTACCTGAGGTGTTGATGGAAGGGGATTCCCCTTCCAAACTATAAACAATCCACTCTCTCCTCCTCCTCCAGTCTCCCATACACTAAGAAGAATCTCCAATAAAGGTAAGTGTTATGCTGTTAATGTTTCATTCATCATTTCCCATTGTATTGTTTATGTACTACATGTATATTTCATGTTAAAATTTTTTTTGTTTTAATACTTCTGGGTGTCAGGAACGGATTAATTGTATTTACATTATTTCTTATGGGGAAAATTGATTCGTAAAACGTAAATTTCATTTAAAGTAACGGCTCCAGGAACGGATTAATTACGAAAAACGAGGGACCACTGTATATGCTTCTAAACTGTTGTGTTCTGAGCACCTCTGCAAAAACAGTGATTATGTGTGAGTGAGGTGAAAGTGTTGAATGATGATGAAAGTATTTTCTTTTTGGGGATTTTCTTTCTTTTTGGGTCACCCTGCCTCGGTGGGAGACGGCTGACTTGTTGAGAAAAAGAAAGAAAAAAAAAACAAATATGATAGAGTGGATAGGGAAACAATGTGGCAGATGTTGCAAGTATATGGAATAGGTGGTAAGTTACTAAATGCTGTAAAGAGTTTTTATGAGGATAGTGAGGCTCAGGTTAGGGTGTGTAGAAGAGAGGGAGACTACTTCCTGGTAAAAGTAGGTCTTAGACAGGGATGTGTAATGTCACCATGGTTGTTTAATATATTTATAGATGGGGTTGTAAAAGAAGTAAATGCTAGGGTGTTCGGGAGAGGGGTGGGATTAAATTATGAGGAATCAAATACAAAATGGGAATTGACACAGTTACTTTTTGCTGATGATACTGTGCTTATGGGAGATTCTAAAGAAAAACTGCAAAGGTTAGTGGATGAGTTTGAGAGTGTGTGTAAAGGTAGAAAGTTGAAAGTGAACATAGAAAAGAGTAAGGTGATGAGGGTATCAAATGATTAGATAAAGAAAAATTGGATATCAAATTGGGGAGGAGGAGTATGGAAGAAGTGAATGTTTTCAGATACTTGGGAGTTGACGTGTCGGTGGATGGATTTATGAAGGATGAGGTTAATCATAGAATTGATGAGGGAAAAAAGGTGAGTGGTGCATTGAGGTATATGTGGAGACAAAAAACATTATCTATGGAGGCAAAGAAGGGAATGTATGAAAGTATAATAGTACCACACTCTTATATGGGTGTGAAGCTTGGGTTGTGAATGCAGCAGCAAGGAGGCGGTTGGAGGCAGTGGAGATGTCCTGTCTAAGGGCAATGTGTGGTGTAAATATTATGCAGAAAATTCGGAGTGTGGAAATTAGGAGAAGGTATGGAGTTAATAAAAGTATTATTCAGAGGGCTGAAGAGGGGATGTTGAGGTGGTTTGGTCATTTAGAGAGAATGGATCAAAGTAGAATGACATGGAGAGCATTTAAATCTGTAGGGGAAGGAAGGCGGGGTAGGGGTCGTCCTCGAAAAGGTTGGAAGGAAGGGGTAAGGGAGGTTTTGTGGGCGAGGGGCTTGGACTTCCAGCAGGCGTGCGTGAGCGTGTTCGATAGGAGTGAATGGAGACGAATGGTATTTGGGGCCTGACGATCTGTTGGAGTGTGAGCAGGGTAATATTTAGCAAAGGGTTTCAAGGAAACTGGTTATTTTTATATAGCTAGACTTGAGTCCTGGAAATGGGAAGTACAATGCCTGCACTCTAAAGGAGGGGTTTCGGGATACTGACGGTTTGGAGGGATATGTTGTGTATCTTTATATGTATATGCTTCTAAGCTGTTGTGTTTTGAGCACCTCTGCGAAAACAGTGATTATGTGTGAGTGAGGTGAAAGTGTTGAATGATGATGAAAGTATTTTCTTTTTGGGGATTTTCTTTCTTTTTGGGTCACCCTGCCTAGGTGGTAGACGGATGACTTGTTGAAAAAAAAAAAAAAAAAAAAACACTCCAACACTATATCTCCCCCTGCTTTTAACATTTCTGTCATGATCCCATCAGTAAGATTTATGTAAGACGTTATGTAAGACTTATCTTCAGTAAATATAACAAGCATTATAAAATTATCTAAAATTTATCAATACAATATTTCATAATTTTGAATTCACCTTGAATGATGAATTCTGACGGATGAGTTGACAAAGAAAGACTCAGCAAGTATCGTTCAGGTAGATCAGCTAGACCATTAAATCTGAGCACAGACATGGCTGCTTTGTGTGCTGGTTCTATTTGGGCAGCTGCAGCAATATCCAGCAACTGGGCCCTGACAAAATATTACATCAATTAATGAGATATCCTGTAACTAGAGTAGGAACCCAGCTTATGATGTTCATGCATTGCTGAAAATTCATCCTAAGTCCACTGTTCAGTACTCTTAACCTAATTTTCCACAGAAACCCAAGTTTTAATGGAATAATGCATTCCCAAGTCATATTATCCTAGAATTAGTCAGTTAATTTATTTTCCACAGAATTTTTTATTTAGCATTGTACATTCAGTACTGTCACTTTTCACTTACAAGTAATACTAAACTTTATGTATACATGCTGATTAAGCAGAACAGAGCTACAATACATAATACACTACTCCACTTCCTCAATGCTATTGTTGAGTGTAGTGATATGTGACAGATGTACAGGCATGAGCACAGCTGGACTGCCTCCCACTCTTTCTCATTCCGACCCTGTTATGTTGTTGTTATGTTATGTTTTATCTAATTCAAGATTATTTACATATTGTACTTATTACTTCCTCAAATGTTATGGTGATGGTTAACATATGTGGATATATAGTTTCTGAAGGAGGGTGGTCATTAAGGTAACTGTGTGAGGGAGGGTGTGAGGGAGGGTTTTGTTTTCCTGAGTGGAGCTATTAGTCCCCCACACCTCACCCACTGACATATTTAGTGTACGTCAACAGCAGTGGTGGCTACCACCAAACATAATTACTAAGTCTACAGTATACAGTTAATCTCTAGCAAACAAACCTGAGCTCTCCAAATATGCATAAAATGAAGATGTGGTGCACAAAGTATGAATGAATTTGGTTAAAGACTAATCGAGAAAAAATTTATAATTCAACCTTAGGAAGATTGGTAAATGTAGTCATTCCGCTGCTAGAATTGTGAGGCACTTTTTCTTAAGTAATTAAGTGGTTCCAAAGCCAATGTCATGCAAAACACTATAAGTCAGGGCCCTACTATAATGTATTGTAGTACAGTAGTAGTTTAACTTACTTTCTTCACTGGTCATCATAGTATAGATATGTACTTATAGTTACAGAACAAGAGAAAGGCAGTTATGTAAAAACTGAATTAAGAAGCAGCAAGCACTACATCAACAACAGCAGGACACCTATATATGCAGAACACTCATCAAAAAACTGACTTTCAGGCTTGTTATTCACATCAGTGATACTTGAAACAGCAAGTTTCAGAATTTTTTCATAGCTGAGAATTAATAAAACCGTTAGAAAAATTGTGAAGATCTGTCTTCATTAAGGTTCAAGTGGCTACTGTACTACTTACAATATTTTAGAATTCTTCTTATCTTTCAGTACAGCGTGAAAAGTTTCTTGATCACTTTCTCGCACCTTCTTGAGCAAGCGAAGAAAAGCAATAGCTGAGCCTTGGGAGCCCAAGTTCTTGGAACTCAATGTAGAACGAAAACTGTTGACAAGATCCTTCAACTGAAAAAAAAAAAATTAATGTATCAAAACTTAATTATTAGTTGCCCTACCTTGATGAGGTTTCAGTGAATAATTTTATCATGCCTATAAGAACGTACCACAGAACTTTCGTTTTTCTTTTTGAGCCACTCTGCCTCGATGGGATATGGCCAGTTTGTTGAAAGTAGTAGTAGTAGCAGAACCATTGACTCCATAGGGAAGTGGAAAAGCATTCTTCCTCCGTAACCAATGTGTGTGTCATACGGGACGACTATAATGCCGGGAACAAGGGGCTAGTAACCCCTTCTCCTGTATAAATTACTAAATGTAAAAAGAAAGACTTTTATCTTACTTTTTTGGGCCACCCTGCCTTGGTGGTATCCCAACCACAGGAAGGCATATGGTATTAATTTGACAATGTACTCTTTATTACTCAAGTTTTTGAACAAATATATACTGTATATAAAGAGAAATGTATGAAAGTACAGTTATACCAATGCTCTTATGTGGGTGTGAAGCATGGGTGGTGAATGTTGCAACAAGGAGACGGCTGGAGGCAGTGATGTTGTGTCTGAAGGCAATGTGCAGTGTGAATATAATGCAGAGAATTCATAGCTTGGAGATTAGGAGGAGGTGTGGGGTTTCTAGAAGCATTATCCAGAGGGCTGAGGAGGGGGTTGTTGAGGTGGTTCGGACATTCAGAGGGGATGGAATGAAACAAAATGACTTGGAAAGCATATAAATCTGTAATGGAAGGAAGGCAGGGAAGGGGTTGGCCTAGGAAAGGTTGGAGGCACGGGGTAAAGGAGGTTTTGTGCACGAGGGGCTTGGACTTCCAGCAAGCGTGTGTGTGTGTGTGTGTGTGTTAGATAGGAATAAATGGAGACAAGTGGTTTTCATGACTTGACGTGCTGTTGGAGTGTGAGCAAAGTAACATTTATGAAGAGATTCAGGGAAACCGACAAGCTGGACTTGAGTCCTGGAGGTGGGAAGCACAGTGCCTGCCCTCTGAAGGAGGGGTACTGTTATGTTGCAGCTTTTTAATTTTAGTGTAGGTGTGCCTCTGGCAAGAGAGTGATGGAGTGAATGATGATGAAAGTGTTTCTTCTTTTTCATGTCACCCTGCCTTGATGGGAAATGGCCGACGTGTTAATAAAAAAAAATATAATATAAATAAGATAACATAAATTATAGACAGAACTAGTGATGTACAGAAGAACAATTAGAATATACAAAACAACATAGCTTACCGATTTGCATGCGATACACTCCTTTGGGTCAGGATTGGTTGCTAACTGGTCAGTAAGGAGTTTTTTTTGAAGCTTAGAGGAAATAGACTTAATAACCTCTGCAACACTTTTTCCTGTATACTTTGGTGTGTTAACTTTTTCACGACCTGTAGAAGCAAAAACTACAGTAACATGTAATAAATTCACATTAGTACAGCAATTCTAGAATATTTTTCATTTAAACATGAGAATGCATAACTTAGAATGTTTTAGAATATGAGTTTTTTTGTATCACTAAACATACATTAGAATGTATAACTAAACACATGAAAATGAATGACAAAATACACATTAGAACATTAGTATATTCTGAGACTGTGGAGAAAGCAGTGACATCTGGCACTGACTATAGAATGACTACATGCAGGAAGGATGGTGCAGACTTCAACTAAGATTATATGAAAATGAAACTTTTACTTGTAGAACTCAGATGAGTGTGAGACATGAAACAGTACAGTATTAGTAGTTATTGCATAAATTTTCATCATATGTAAACTTAAACACATTAAAATGAAGTCACATTATTACAATACAAAATTTGTTTAATATGAATTAGCATTTTAAGTAAACGATGAAAAGAGGACAAGAAGCAATATGAAGGTAAGATGGTAAATCATCCATAACAAGTCAGAATGCCACAGCACACATTATGGTCAGCAGGCAATCTAGAGGAAATCATGAATCTGGATGATCTTGGATGCACCAAATAACTGAATATGTGCTTAGCACACACAACAGGGGAAATACAGTCTCTCCACTGTACTTGTTTACAGACGACTCAGACTTACGACATGCTCTCTGACTAGTATGCATACCTAAATAATGAATATTAGAGCTGATTTCCTATATTCTGTTTATTACAATATACTGCATGAACATTTAAAAATATACTAAAAAATTTATAAATGGTGCAAAGGTGACATTAAAACAATATCAAAGATGGATGGCACAAACCCACTACCATTATAGTATGCTCCCTGCTTACCGGCGTGGTCTTAGGAATGGAACTTCATTCTTAAGTGAGGAGAGGCTGTATTGCAATTTGGTTCATTATTTGATTTTTGATCTATGTGCACTTCTGGGGAATGAATGACAATGAATGTGTGTACCTCATGAGTTGCCCTACCATGGTGATAACAACCAATATGGTTAAAAAAAAAAAAGAAGTAAACCCTAGATATAACAGACTTTCAAAATAAAGGGGAAAATCTGCTGGGTAAATTGTACTTCTAACTCCTTTGTTTTCAATATTTATAGCAATATATAAATAAACTATGCATATACATTAAATAATTATGTGAGAAATGGCCAGCGTGTTGAAAAAAAAATTATATTAAGTATACAGTAGAGTTACATGATGGTATGATTGCTGGTGTCTTTTGTCTGTCTCATAAACATGTAAGACTTCAGGTATGTCTTGCTACTTCTACTTACATTAAGGTCACACTACACATGCATGTACAAGCATATATATACAGACCCTTCTGGATTTTCTTCTATTTTTCTTACTAGTTCTTGTTCTTGTTTATTTCCACTTATCTCCATGGGAAAGTGGAACAGAATTATTCCTCCGTAAGATAAGATAAGATAAGATTTCGTTCGGATTTTTAACCCCGGAGGGTTAGCCACCCAGGATAACCCAAGAAAGTCAGTGCGTCATCGAGGACTGTCTAACTTATTTCCATTGGGGTCCTTAATCTTGTCCCCCAGGATGCGACCCACACCAGTCGACTAACACCCAGGTACCTATTTGCTGCTAGGTGAACAGGACAATAGGTGTAAGGAAACGTGTCGAAATGTTTCCACCCGCCGGGAATCGAACCCGGGCCCTCCGTGTGTGAAGCGGGAGCTTTAGCCACCAGGCCACCGGGCCATGCGTGTTGTACAAGTCGACTAAAATGCCGGGAGCAAAGGGCTAGTAACCCCTTTTCCTGTATATATTACTAAATGTAAAAGGAGAAACTTTTGTTTTTCTTTTTGGGCCACCCTGCCTCGGTGGGATATGGCCGGTGCGTTTAAAGAAAGAAAGATACAGTAGAGTATTTAATTTTTTTTTTGCTATTCTTTAACATTATCTGATTTAACAGAAAAATACTCAATCCCATCCCTATATGTCCATTATAATGAGGGTTTACTGTCATTTAGGTGTTTAACTTCACATTACAGAGAAATCAAATCTTACCCTTGAGATGAAGCACTTGCTTACTCATAACCTCAGCTCCTGATTGCTTACGAGCCTCTACTCTCAAGAAATGTGTCTCCATGGATGTGGCCTTTCGAATTATTTTGTCTTCATCACTCAAAACATAAGAAACAGTCACCTGACTATCAATTTGAGCACCCAGAACCTGTGACACAAAGATGTATATTGAACTTCACAGTCATAATGTTTAGTTGTATAGTATCTGTATAATTTAGCCTAGCCATCCAGTACAATATGGTGGTATACATGATTGTTTCCACATTAATTATATAGCAAAATGAAACAGTTTTTGAGGTACCATATAACAGACATTTTACTCAAAATTAAATAGACAAATTAACTGTATAATTAGTGGCTTTCTTTTGTGCCTATTATTTTACTCAAACACCTACTCATGTACGTACATTATTTTAAAGGCTCAAAGAAAAAAAAACATCAATATCAGATGGAATGGCTGTAACGAAGATTTGCAGTGATCACTGAAATATCTTAAAAAGATGTCTACACAAGATTCTACAAAGAATTCTACATGGATGTTTAGAGGAAATGAACCAGGAAAGAGTATTAATTTTATAATGTACAGGTTTCCCTCAACATTCACGTTTTCAACTTTCACGGGCTTCACACATTCGCGAATTCCCAACCGCCAAATTCCCAGCCGCCAAATCATATTTAAGTTTCCCGCCACCTGCGAGTCCCTACTACCCTCCCTCCGAGCCCCACAACTGGCAGCCAGCCCTCCCACCACTCAGTGTGGTGAGTGTTTTGTTTGTTCATTATTTGCTATTAAACTACAGAATAAATAATGTAAACCCATTCATGACTGCATATTGGAATGGCTATTCGGACAGGTATTAGACGGTGACATCATGTGTTTAATCTTGAACACTGCAAAGAATTAAACATTTCTGCTACAGCTAATAATAACAATAGTAATAATAATAATAATAAATATGATATAATTGAAGAAGGAAATTGTACAAAAATACGAGGGAGTGGTTGACACATCGTCAGTGCGACTTTGTTTACGCTGGAGTGAACATTAGTCTCCCTGCTCTTCCAAACATTTCACAATAATTCATTGTGTTTGGTGCTTGTAGATTGAGTGTGACTGGAGTGGTAGAGGCAGTGATTGAGGCAATGGTATTTAATAACATACATGTTAATAATAATACATGTTATTAATAATATGTACTATTATTATTTATAACATATATGTTATTAAATACATACATGTTAATAATAATACATGTTATTAATAATAAATAATAATATAAATTTTAATGAAAATAAGAAAAAATTTTGGAGTGAGTTAAACAAGTTAAGAAAGCCTAGGGAAAGTATGGATTTGTCAGTTAAAAACAGAGTAGGGGAGTTAGTAGATGGGGAGATGGAGGTATTAGGTAGATGGCGAGAATATTTTGAGGAACTTTTAAATGTTAAGGAAGAAACAGAGGCAGTAATTTCATGCACTGGTCAGGGAGGTATACCATCTTTTAGGAGTGAAGAAGAGCAGAATGTAAGTGTGGGGAAGGTACGTGAGGCATTACGTAAAATGAAAGGGGGTAAAGCAGCTGGAACTGATGGGATCATGACAGAAATGTTAAAAGCAGGGGGGGATATAGTGTTGGAGTGGTTGGTACTTTTGTTTAATAAATGTATGAAAGAGGGGAAGGTACCTAGGGATTGGCGGAGAGCATGTATAGTCCCTTTATATGAAGGGAAAGGGGACAAAAGACTGTAAAAATTATAGAGGAATAAGTTTACTGAGTATACCAGGAAAAGTGTACGGTAGGGTTATAATTGAAAGAATTAGAGGTAAGACAGAATGTAGGATTGTGGATGAGCAAGGAGGTTTCAGAGTGGGTAGGGGATGTGTAGATCAAGTGTTTACATTGAAGCATATATGTGAACAGTATTTAGATAAAGGTAGGGAAGTTTTTATTGCATTTATGGATTTAGAAAAGGCATATGATAGAGTGGATAGAGGAGCAATGTGGCAGATGTTGCAAGTATATGGAATAGGTGGTAAGTTATTAAATGCTGTAAAGAGTTTTTATGAGGATAGTGAGGCTCAGGTTAGGGTGTGTAGAAGAGAGGGAGACTACTTCCTGGTAAAAGTAGGTCTTAGACAGGGATGTGTAATGTCACCATGGTTGTTTAATATATTTATAGATGGGGTTGTAAAGGAAGTAAATGCTAGGGTGTTTTTGCAGAGGTGCTCAGAATACAACAGTTTAGAAGCATACACATATAAAGATACACAACATATCCCTCCAAACTGCCAATATCCCAAACCCCTCCTTTAAAGTGCAGGCATTGTACTTCCCATTTCCAGGACTCAAGTCCGACTATATGAAAATAACCGGTTTCCCTGAATCCCTTCACTCCAACAGATCGTCAGGTCCCAAGCACCATTCGTCTCCATTCACTCCTATCTAACACGCTCACGCACGCTTGCTGGAAGTCCAAGCCCCTTGCCCACAAAACCTCCTTTACCCCCTCTCTCCAACCCTTTCGAGGACGACCCCTACCCCGCCTTCCTTCCCCTATAGATTTATATGCTTTCTATGTTATTCTACTTTGATCCATTCTCTCTAAATGACCAAACCACCTCAACAACCCCTCTTCTGCCTCTGAATAATACTTTTATTAACTCCACACCTTTTCCTAATTTCCACACTCTGAATTTTCTGCATAGTATTTACACCACACATTGCCCTTAAACAGGACACTCCACTGCCTCCAACCGTCTCCTCGCTGCTGCATTTACCACCCAAGCTTCACACCCATATAAGAGTGTTGGTACTACTATACTTTCATACATTCCCTTCTTTGCCTCATAGATAATGTTTTTTTGACTCCACATATACCTCAAACGCACCACTCACCTTTTTTCCCTCATCAATTCCATGATTAACCTCATCCTTCATAAATCCATCCGCCGACACGTCAACTCCCAAGTATCTGAAAACATTCACTTCTTCCATACTCCTCCTCCCCAATTTGATATCCATTTTTCTTTATTTTAATCATTTGATACCCCATCACCTTACTCTTTTCTATGTTCACTTTAAAACTTTCTCCCTTTACACTTTCCAAACTCATCCACTAACCTTTGCAATTTTTCTTTAGAATCTCCATAAGCACATTATCATCAGCAAAAAGTAACTGTGTCAATTCATTTTGAATTTGATTCCCAAATTAATCCCACCCTCCCCTGAACACCCTAGCATTTACTTCCTTTACAAACCCCATCTATAAATATATTAAACAACGATGGTGAATTACACATCCCGTCTAAGACCTACTTTTACCGGGGGAAATAGTCTCCCTCTCTTCTCACCACCCTAACCTGAGCCTCACTATCCTCATAAAAACCTTTACAGCATTTAATAACTTACCACCTATTCCATATACTTGCAACTTTTGCCACATTGCTCCTCTTTTCCACTCTATCATATGCCTTTTCTAAATCCATAAATGCAAAAAAAACTTTCCCCACCTTTATCTAAAATTTCTGTTCACATATATGCTTCAATGTAAACACTTGATTACACATCCCCTACCCACTCTGAAACCCTTGCTCATCCGCAATCCTCCATTCTGTCTTACCTCTAATCTTTCAAATTTTAACCCTACTGTACACTTTTCCTGGTATACTCAGTAAGCTTATTCCTCTATAATTTTTACAGTCCTTTTGTCCCCTTTCCCCTTTTTATAAGGGACTATACATGCTCTCCGCCAATCCCTAGGTACCTTCCCCTCTTTTATACATTTATTAAACAGAAGTACCAACCACTCCAACACTATTTTCCCCCCCCGCTTTTAACTTTCTGTCATGATCCCATCAGTTCCAGCTGCTTTACCCCCTTTCATTTTACGTAATGCCTCCGTACCTCCCCCACACTTACATTCTTCTCTTCTTCACTCCTAAAAGATGGTATACCCCCCTGCCCAGTGCATGAAAATTACTGCCTTGTTTCTTCCTTAACATTTAAAAGTTCCTCAAAATATTCTCGCCATCTACCTAATACCTCCATCTCCCCCTCTACTAACTCCCCTACTCTGTTTTTAACTGACAAATCCATATTTTTTCCCTAGGCTTTCTTAACTTGTTTAACTCACTCCAAATTTTTTTCTTTTTTCTTAAAATTCTTGCAGTTGCCTCTCCACTCTATCATCTGCTCTCTTTTGCATTTCTCACCACTTCTTTAACCTTTCTTTTACTCCAAAAATACAAGCATATACAGTATTATTTAAAATCCAAAGTAAATGACGTACTGTACTTGAAAGTTAAGACACTGTGCAAACTTGGATTTTTTATTGTAGCGTTTTGCCATCCAGTGTCTTTTTTCAATACAAATTCTAGGACATTAATAGAAGACGTAAGAATATATACAAAAGATGAGGAATTTCAGTCCTCACCCATGGATGGAAACGTTTTTACAATACAGATACCATGTTTGCCATGTTTAACTTTCATATTGTCGGTATTTTATACCTTTCTTGCACAGTACTGTACTTGTTTAAGTTGCTAATATCCTAAAAATTGGAATTTATTAAAATAAGTAGATGAGAAATACTGTACTGTAATTTTATGCGAAAGTGCCTACCATACAAAATAATGTGCATGTTAATAATGCAATGAAAGATTGGGTTACAAAACTGCATTGTTACAGCTATTAAAACAGTGATTCTAGTGCTCTCACATTAATACCTATTGTTAGGAAAATTATCAGGTAAAATCATTAATTCGCTGCAAAGTTTACGTAGCAGTGTAATGTTTAAAGTTAGAAAAAGAAATCAAAATAAGAAGTTATTTTAACACAGTCATGACATGCATCTCTCTCTCTCCACCCTACCTTATTTGTGTGGTTGAAGTAAGCTACTGGTACAACAGTTCTGCAGTTTTTCTTCAACTTTGAGACATGAGTAGAGTCAGCCAACTTGTAGATAACATCACACTTGCCTGAAGCATCAACTTCTGTCTCCTTCAAATTTTTTACTTGATGCTGTTAAAGACTTTCAAATGAGCCAATGTGGCAATACAATATATAATCACTTGAAGGAAAATTTAAATGGCAATTTAAAACAAAATAGTGAATATGGTAAGTCTTACATACAGTATATAAAATAGTAATTTAAATAATTATAGCTTATTTTGTACATGCAAAAGGTAGAAAGTTGAAGCAATGTTAATTCAAACAAATACGTACTTCTTTTCAACAAAATTTTATTACAAAAATAATACAACAAAAACTTCAGTTTATTGGACCAATAGGTAAAAGAAGGTGTCCAATAATACTGATTGTCCAGTAATTCTGAGTAATATTATATAGCAAACAACAAAAACTACTCTACTGTATAGTTGCTGTTTGGAGGGAGATCTGAACTGTTGTATCTGTGCACCTCTGGCAAGACATTGATAGTGTGAATGATGATGAAAGTGTTTCTTTTAAGACTGGGTCACCCTACCTCAGTGGGAGATAGTCAATGTGTTAATTTTTCACACTAGTGTGTGAAATCCATTAAATCAAAGTTTAACTGCACTGTACTGTACTACACATGTAACTTTTCAAAGAACTAGTTGTTTACAAGTACTGTACTGTACTGGTGGTCATGCAAACATCACATACATAACTACCATAAATTATATGAATTATTCATGCAACATGTGAGATGTATAAATTATGCTTAAAGCACAAAAGGGTTCCTTATAATTAAAAATAAAAGCACATAAAAATGGAAACTAAATACTAAAAAAATATATGAATAATCTACCAGTATTATTACTACAGGTATATGATAAACGAGAAGCAGGATTGACTACAAGTCAATAAATTCCATCTTAAGTCATAATAAGATAAATTAAAGGCAAGGCAAAGAGGGGAAAAGAACCATTTAAAACCTACGCAATTACACCGTCGAGAAGACCAGATGATCAAGCAGTTCTCAAATCCTGTATCAGAAGTCTTCTAGACCTTATTTTATGGAAAAAAGAAATATGTACCACTACTTAAACCAATTACACTATTTTTAAGTACTATAACAGTAACTTTCATCTATCTGAAGAGAGAATGATCTTATAATGTGAAATACAGAGACAGGCAACACAAACTTTAGAATCATTGTATGAAGAGAGAAAAATACGGGTGCTAGCTGAGCTTCAAACATTGTTTCCATTATTACAAAGCATTCAGTTTCAAAAGAAAAGAATTTTATATAATCTCATGTTCTAATCATCATTTTTGACTTAGTTAATTAACATCTTATTCTGTTAATATAACTATCATGAGCTTGTTAAAATCTGATTAGAGAGATTCTTCCATTACTATAAGACTGTTAATCTTCTTCTGAACTTATAATTAATTTTAAGGGTTTTATGTTCATTCACTTTCTGACTCAAAATAAATATCTTTGTCATGCCGAATTCAATCATTTTTCCTAAGTGTTACACTGACAATCCTTGACTTTTTCAATGTTTGCCTACAAAAATACATATAACTGAAAATACTATACCTGGAGCAAACTGGAGATGCCTTTCATAACATTGAGAACTGATGATTCACTTCCATCAACATGATAGACTTTCTTAATCTGGCCATTATCCCAATGCAGGAATAGGGGATGTAATTTGTACATCTCCACTTTTGAGGGTTTGTGAAGAAAGCCTTCGGGGGAAGGTCCTTGCCGAGCCTTGACTGAGAGCTTTGGTGTTACCACCTGGAAAGCAAAAATGTGCAAGAATCCTTCAACAAGTAACCCTGTATATTTTTATAAAGAAGTTTTCTCTATATTATAAAATCAGGAACAGTTCAGTGAGTCTTTTGAATTGTGATGTTTGTGCTCTTTTGGCAAGACAGCTATGGAATGAGTGATGGTGAATTTTTACTTTGTTTTTTGGATCACCCTACCTAGGTGGGAGATTGCAACTTGATTGTAAATTATATTGCGTTGTCTTTTAGACTGTATTCTTCTACATCATCTTGTATAGTGATTTTTGTTAGAAATCCTATCAGCTTAGTCAAGGATCTTTTGTATTATTATTACTAGCAATGCAAACATCCTTCAACACTGATATCCTACCAATACATCCTGACCTAAAGAAACTTACATTTACACCCACTGCAAATGATACTTATAATTATCCACAAAAGCTCAAATGATTACAAATATGTGAACTGATCAATGCAATAAGGTAACGGAAATGTGTGGGGTGAATAATATGCTGAGAATTCAAAGTTTGGAGATCAGAAGAAGGTGCAAGGTTACTAAAAGTATTATGCAGAGGGTGAGGAGGGTTTTTTTGAGGTGTTTTGAACAGTTAAGGGATGGAGAAACAGGATAATTGGATTGTTATAATCTGTAAAGGGGGGACAGAGGTCATCTAGAAATGTTTTGGGGGAGAGGGAATGGTTTTGTTTTTGAGGGGCTTAGCATCAACGGTGTGTGAGAGTTTGTTAGATAGGAGTGTTGGAGGCAATGGTTTTTTTAAAGCTTTAGTGCCTTTGATATGAGCAGGGTAAAATTTTATTAAAGAATCTAAGGAAAGTAGTTAGCTAGAATTGAGTTCTGGAGGTGGGAAGTACAGTGCTTGCACTCTGAAGAAAGGGTGGGGATATTGCAATTTGAAGGGCATTGGCTGAATGTCAGAGTGCCTCTGCAAGACAGTAATTCAGTGGTGATGGTGAAAGTGTTTTCCTTTTTTCTTAGGATCATCCCCAATACCTAAAGGTGGAGATGGTGGTGTTTAAAAAAAATCTTGTACATGTATTATTAATACATGTATCCATTATCACCTGGATCAGTGTGCTTTCAGCACACTGATCCACCCACTGATATCTAAGATTTATATCTAAGATTTATTTTCAGTCTCTTTTCAACAAACGCATATCCATGGGAGGTGCCCCAAAAAAAAACCGAAGTTTCTCTTTTTAAATTTAGTAATTATTTAACCCTGTACTACAGTACATAATTTCCTTGCTATTTCCAGTGACTGATGACTAAGTTTAGATACAATTAGTACAGGATTTTAACTACCACCACTTTATGTAGTTACCCCATAGATAAAAAAGTTACAGGAAGGAGAACAAAGTATGTACATAATTTAGTCTAAATATGTATGTTTTGTTGGAAAATGACATAAATGAATAAAACACCCGACTACCTTGCATTAGTATTAAGAGTAAATAAGATTGTAATAAAGTTAACCACTATTATCTTGTCTAGTTTTAAGTAGTTACTATGTACTAGGATTAGTCTGCCCGAAATGCCCCAGCATGATAGTGGCTTTCTTTGTACGTACTTGGCAAACTAAAATTGTAATTACACGCTGTAACCTGTACAAAGAAATAAAGCTTTATCTTTATCTTATACTGTAATATGGAAATCTCACTGATATAAAGGTAGTAAAGCTGTGCCAAACAAGTTAAAGGCACAGATCACTCATTTTACATCCTGTCTTCCTTAATATTCACAAATGAGTAAATCAATGTATAAATTTGGTGTCCACACAATTTTATGTCTTGAATACATCAAAGCACAGTACCGACAGTACTGCACTACAGTACTGTACTGAACTTCTTATCCAACATCTTTAGGATTTCTTTTTTTTTTACAAAACAGGAGGGCCCCGTTTATACAGCAGGTTAGGTTCTGTACAGCGAAAATTGCGGTAGAGTGAAACATAGCCTTTTTTTCATTTTCAAATGCATATAAAAGCCTGATAACATGTTTACACTATTATATACTAAGTGAGCAATAGAGCTAGGCCAAAATAATGCTTATACAGTATAAACATTGCTTACCTTAAAATATCTTTGTACTTAGCTTATAGAGAATGGTGAGCATATCTATTGTACAAAGTCTTAATAAATGAAGCATGGGTACGTATAGGTAATTGAAAACCACTGCATTAGCAAAATGCTGTAAAATGGGGCCCTCCCGTATCTTACCTTGGCTAACACAATAAATAACAAACCTGCCCAGTAATATTTCACATGTAGTGCAGTATTCTGTCTTCATTCTCAACAAAAAATTTTTTTTAAGGAATCAACTAAGAATATTCATTACTAAATAATACACTAATACTGTAATTTGTCCATAAAACTTCCCTGTATTTTTTAAAACTGAAATTCTCAGTAAAAATATGTAAAGCACTTACAGTGAGTTGGAGAATTTGCTCATGAGAATTGGTTGGGTGCTGCCAGACTGGTGTGATCTCAGCAGTCAGCTCTACCCTGAAGCCAACATCTTTGGTAGTGGACACAGGTAATGGCTGGGGTTCATTTAATAAAACAGATGTCTCATATCCATACATATACAGGGTCCCCACTTCAAACTGTCGTGTATATGCTGGAAACAGATGATTTGGAAAGTTACCTGCCATACAATAAATGCTAAGAGTAAAGACAAGCCTCAATAAAGTAACCCTATTTTAATTGACTTTTTAACAGCAATTACACAATGTATTATTTCATAACTATACTGTACAGAACATGTACTGTAACTGTAAAAGCTTCTTTTTAACAAGATTGCTGAAAAATTAATGTCTCCACTGATATTTTCCTATAAAACCTTAAAATGTATATGAATGTGATCTATATCTGGCAAGTAATACACACAATTCAACATTATTGAGAATGACAGTATTGTAGTATTTTTGTACAAGTTAGAATGTTTAATGCATATTTTAGGCCATTTGAATTTTTGAAGAGGTATTTGGCAGACTGAGGACTACAGCAAATACATAAAAAGTGAAATACAGTACTGGTGTCAGACAATAAGAGCAGTTCACTAATTACAGTAGCATTTTGAAGGTTAAAATTAGAGAGAGGGGTACAGTAATGTAATTTGGGAAAAAATCACTGAAGAGAGAGTTGAAGAAGAGTACTGTAGCAGGGAAGAGACAGTGAAGAAAGTACATTATAATATTTCATAGAGCACTAAATGGAAGGAAGAAAAATATTCAGGAAAAAAATATATATTCTGGGGAGGAGGGGAATAAATCCACATAACTTATTCAACTCTGGAGATGGTGTGGATGCTTAAGAAAATGCTAAGATGGAGTGAATGATCTCTAGACAGAACAGGTGATACAGAAGATATAGTTAGGAAAATCAATGAAATATGTGCTGTTTAAACAAGGAAGAGATACATTGAAAGAAAAAAATTAATTTATTCATTTAATGTCAGCTTAGATGAGAAATGACAAAACACTGGCAATGAATGAAGCTGTTCATTAACTCCTGTGTGCAGGTTGAGATACCTGAATGGAAGATGAGAGGAGCTGAATTTTGCTTAATACTGTATATTCCACACACACACACACACACACACACACACACACACACACACACACACACACACACATGAAGTAGCAGGAGGATTTAAACAAACTCTATTCTTGGTCAGAAAGGTGGCAGATGCAGTTCAATGTAGATAAATGCAAGGTTCTGAAGCTTGGAAGTTCCCATAACCCTAGTACTTATAAGTTAAATGATGTAGAACTTAGCCATACAGATTGCGAAAAGGACTTGGGGGTTATGGTGAGCAGCAACCTTAAACCAAGACAGCAATGCCTAAGCGTACGTAATAAGGCAAATAGATTACTGGGATTTATATCAAGAAGTGTAAGCAACAGAAGTCCAGAGGTCATACTGCAGCTTTATACATCATTAGTAAGGCCTCACCTAGATTATGCAGCTCAGTTCTGGTCTCCATATTACAAAATGGACATAAATTCGTTAGAAAACATTCAGTATAGGATGACTAAATTAATACATAGCATTAGAAATCTTCCTTATGAAGAAAGATTGAAGACTCTTAAGTTACATTCACTTGTTAGGACGAAGAATGAGGGGAGACCTGATCGAAGTGTATAAGTGGAAGATAGGTATTAATAAAGGGGATATTAATAAGGTCTTGAGGATGTCTCTCCAAGAGAGAACCCGCAGTAATGGATTTAAATTAGATAAGTTTAGATTTAGAAAGGACATAGGAAAGTATTGGTTTGGAAATAGGGTAGTTGATGAGTGGAACAGTCTACCTAGTTGGGTTATTGAGGCTGGGACTTTGGGTAGTTTCAAATCTAGGTTGGATAAGTACATGAGTGGGAGGGGTTGGATTTGAGTGGGACTTTCACATCAGAGCTTATTTCTTGGGTGGCATTGAAAATTGGGTTGGGCAAATGTTTTGTTAGTGGGATGAATTGTAAAGGACCTGCCTAGTATGGGCCAGCAGGCCTCCTGCAGTGTTCCTCCTTTCTTATGTTCAATAACTAAGACATTAAAATGAATGGAAAAGCTTGTCAGGCATGTAAAGAATAGATGGGAAACCAAGACAAATAAAACTATACATGTAGTTTTTGTTAAAAAGAAATGCAGAAAATACCCCCCAACAATACAGAAAAATCTAAAGAAATCTGAAGAACCTACTGGTGCCCCGCAGAGTCATTCTGCTGTGTTAGAGTCCAAAAACTTAATTAACCCTTTCAGGGTCCCCAGGCCCTCTCCCAGACTTATTCTCAGGGTCACCCAAATTTAAAAAAAAAATATATATATATATATTTTCTTACGAAAAGATAGAGAATCTTTTCCCGATCATAATGACACCAAAAGTATAACATTTGATGGAAAACTTACGGAATTATGCTCTCACGAAGTTAGCGGTCTCGACGATGTTTACGCATTGGCGATTTTGCCCACTTTGAGCCCTATTTTCGGCCAATTCCAGTGTACTAGTCGACAAAAATCATAACTATTTTGCTAGAACTTCATTTTTTCTATCGAATGAGTACAAGAAACCACCCATTTACCGATTTCAACTATCCAATACAGTGGTCAGAATTTAGCAATTTCACACAATTTCAAAAGATGCTAATTTCCAAATAGGGTACAGAATAAACAAGAAAGACATTCCTGGCACTAAAATAACATTTCCTCTGTTCATTTGTCACGTCCCCACGCCCCTCTTACATTCTTTTGCTTTCCACTTAGAATTTTTATTCTCACAAAAAATAGAAGATTTACTGTTATGCAGACTACTGAATTAGTGTATAAATAATATCGGCGCACTTGTGAAAGAATATCAGACTCACCAGTTGACGTGTATTGGACGCTTAGCATGATTTGTTTACTTTTGAACTTTTGGTAAAAATCGAACATTTCTGCTACTTTGAGCTCAATTTCAAGGTACTTTTCATTGTAAAACCAGTCAAAATCATCTCAATTTCTGTAATATGTCTTCCATTCTATAAAATGAGACCAGGAAAACTAGAATACAACAATAAATACCACATGAAAATACAGTGCAAAGTCGCGGTTTTAATCCAAAAACACGGTCGAAAGTTTTTTTTTTTCCCCCATTACGCACTGTGTGCTGCAGGATTTTTTTATACTGCACACACTGACCACATAGACCCATTCTTTCATATGTAGGCCTACCAGCTTTCTCTCACTAGATTTGAGGGCGCTAGAATTTAGGCGTACTAGTACGTCAAAAACCCTGGTGCGTAAGCCGTACTAGTACGGCCGAAACCGTGAAAGGGTTAATAAAAGCAATTTCTGTTCATTTCATGATAATGATTCCACAGACCAATTCCAGAAGCCAATTATTGTCAGGAAAAACAAGTAAATTAAAATAATTTGAGTGAATTTTCTTACAGCACAAAAAAAAAAAAAAAAAAAAAAAAAAAAAAAAAAAAAAGCATTGCTAGCAAAACAGCATCAGTCAGATAAATAAAACCGTATGATAACCAGCCAACAGATTTTGTTATCACTGCAATTGATTTTGGGGTTTAACAAAATTAGTACTGCATCATGTGGCTAAATATACAGTATAATATCAGTGCCCCAAATATTGATGGTCATTATAAAATTATAATGGTGGTCATTACAATATTAAGAAGACTATATCATGCTACTATCTGCACTATTCTGAAAGTTTGATCATACCATTAGTTATACCTTCTGAAAACAGTTGTATCAATACACAGTACTGCACATGTTTAACTAATACATGCATGATGTACATTTATAATCACAAGGTGGACACATTAAAATATTCAATGCTGTTGAAGTTAATTTTGGTGTTTAGGTGGTTTGGCTTTCCTTGGTACTGTACTTAGATTAAACAGGGCCTAAGTCACATTAAAAAACAGGACTGCTTTAAAATCTATCATACTGTACAAATTTTATTTACACTGTGAACTTCAAAATTAATAATTTTATCATAACAAAATTATAAATTGGATGACATTTTGGGCTGTTCTGACCCATTATCAATAATGATAGTCAAGAATGGACTGAAACATCTTCCAGTTTGTATTTTCAATCTGTGAGCTAGTTATGAAATATTCTAGCCACTGTATTGTGACTTATTATTCATATACATTATTATACCGTAATTATTATGGACTGTCACCCCATGCTGGCAGTTTGATCATGCTACTACACCTCTTGATCATTTTAACATCACAAGAGTATAACTATTTTGTTATACAATTACAACCACGTAGATAGACTTAAGCCAAAACCATACCTGGTAAAACAAGCACTGTCAATAGTCATTTAATAAATTAGTGTGTAAAAACTAGAACATCTAGTGAGTGGCTAGCAAAATTAGGCAATTTTATGTCGATGATAGTGTGTCACTGAAGTCACTCCCACAGCCATTAAGTAAAATTACTTTCCCACAACCACCTTACAATTAACTTAAAGGTCAGATACCATCACCAATGCCATTTCCTTTGTCAGCACCATCTGCGTTTCCTACAAGGTGCAGCGAAGACCCACCTGGGTAAGAAGAGAGGAGCACGAAGGCATGGGCTGGTGCCAGGGCACACTGGAGAGCACCCCACATCAGCCAGGTGAGGCCACCCATGCCCACAGTGAGAGCGGCAGTGACCCCACAGCGCAGCATCAGCACCAGGGTGGTCAGCACGCCCAGCAGCATGCTCATGCCCACTCACTCCACACATTTCAATGCACAGCTGGCCATCTTCCTCAGTTGCTCCTGGCTCATCCACGGTCTCAAACATCCATAGTGTTGGCAGAACTAGGCAGCATTTATCAGACAAGAGGCTTGAGCCTTCATAAGAACTTGTGCTGAATGACACAGGTTTGTGATGTCGCAAACTATATAATACGTATTCAGTTTTTAAAGTGTTAACTAAACGCAAAACTGATCAATCCACTACTATGGCCCAAGTGTTTCTTTCTAAAGATATGCAGAGGTTATCTGGCCATTGTCACTGCTTTATGAGGAATGCTTTTTTCACTTTAAAATCTCTGCACCTTCAACAAAAAATTTTCATATAAGAATTCACTCACCATATTATTAACTTTCATATACAATGGATATCACTATATATCAGTATTTGATCTCCTTGCTGTAAGCAATGACAAGCACTATACTATATTGATTATAATCTATGCCTTAATGACCCTTGTGTTCAATTAGCCTTAAACCTGACAATCTTGACAGCAATTGGATAACACAAGTCATTCCAGCCACACAAGTCTGTGGAAGGCACGAGTTGTTGAAGCAAGAAAGAGGCATGTACTGTATTGACATCCAGTGAGAAAAAGGAGGTTAAGGAGTGCAGTTCCTCCTCCTTCCTGGATCAGGACTGTGTTAAAGAAAGACAACCATACTGATGACTTCCCCATCACATTGCATCTCCTTGAATCCCTTTAGTCCACCTGGAAGCCCCTGTTTCCCTTTGAAAACTGATGCTCCCTTCCCTTCTGGAAATCCTTGACACCCCTGGAAGCTCTTGCTTCCCCTACTTGGTAAGACATCAGTGATGACCATGCCGGGATGTTCAGGAAAGCGACGTTTCAGCTGCTGAGTGATTCAAGGAAAGTATTTTCATATCCCATAATCCCAGCACTTTGGTGGTAATGATAGAAAACCAAAACTCTGTCACTGTGGTTGTATACAAGCCACCTGATTCAACTTCCTAACAATTCAAGGAACAGTTTTTGAAAATTGACTAATATATGGAAAAATCTCCCAACCCCAGCCCTAAATATTTTGTTGCTGGGTGATTTCAACCTAAGACACCTAAAATGGAGAAATGTGACAAATAATGTTTTAGTAGGCAGCTTAGATTAAAATACACACACACAAGTTATTAAATCTCTGAAACAAATTCATCTTACGCCAGTAAATAGTGAAGCCAACGTGACTAAAAATTACACATGACCTAATCTTCACTAATAACGATGGTCTGGTACGAAATATAATAGTATCAAAGACAATACACTCAGACTACAACATAGTAGAAATACAGACACATGTGAAAGGCTCCTGACCAGCAAAATGAGATCAATTATGAGATGTAAGCCACAGCAATGTGTCTTCCTTTGCTGACGATACGAGAATTTGCATGACAGTGTAATCCACTGAGGACACTGCAAATCTTCAAGCGGACATTAACCAAGTTTTTAAATGAGTGTCAGAAAACAATGTGAAGTTCAATGAAGACAAATTTCAATTACTCCGATATGGAAAACTTGAGGAAATAAAAACTAGATCGGAGTATAAAATCAATTCCAACCACATAATAGAGCGAGAAAACTAATGCGAAGGACCTGGGAGTGATAATGTCAGAGAATTTCACCATCAAGGTTCACAACAATGTAGCTACTAGGAAAATGATAGGATGGATAATGAGAACTTTCAAAACTAGGGATGCCAAGTGAATGATGATTCTCTTCAAATCGTTTGCTCTATCTAGGCTGGAATACTGCTGTACACTAACAGTCCCCTTTCAAGGCAGGCAAAAACTGCAGACCTGAAGAATACATGGAGAATTTTCACTGCACGTATAAGCACCACAAAGCACCTAAACTACTGGGAACGGTTGAAGTCCCTTGACCTGTACTCCTTGGAATGCAGGCAAACAAAGATACATGATAATATACGCTTGGATAATCCTAGAGGGACTAGTCCCAAATATGCACACAGAAATCAGTCCCTACGAAAACATTTCCCCCAATGTAAAGAGAACAAAATAAGTGTCAGGGGCCTAAGACTGTTCATCTGCCTCCCAGCACACATAAGGGGGATTACCAACAGACCCCTGGCTGTCTTCAAGAGGGAGCTGGACGTATGAACCACAGCCCGGCTGTGGTTCATAAGTTGGACTTTGTGCGGCCAGCAGTAACAGCCTGGTTGATCAGGCCCTGATCTACCGGGAGGCCTAGTCGTGGACCGGGCCGCGGGGGCGTTGATCCCCAGAATACCCTCCAGGTAGGTATGGGGATACCAAGAATAGAAATGAAAAGGCTATTAAAAAAAATAATTTTTTAAAGCCTTACAACATAATAGCACAAAGATTTAAACGAATTTATCTTTTTCCATGAATCAAAGATATAAAAATACCGTTATGGCCACTTTTCAGTGCGTGGGGTGACGAGAAGAGCAGTGTTGCACGTGTGTGGGGCCGGCCGTTCACCTGCACGCGTCACCCCCACACACACAAGCCTCAAGATTTCCTCCTCGCTCCATATACTAACTTACCCACCCATACGAATGTTTCTCTCCCCCCCCCGATGCCGTCTACGAATATGCCCCCAACTCCCGCCATCCATGAATATGCACCCCTCCAATCACCTACGAAAATGCACCCCTCCCTTCACCTACGAATATGCCCCCAACTCCAACCGTCCATGAATATGCACCCCTACCACCACCTACGAATATGGTCCAACTCCGCCATCCACGAATATACCCTATTCCTGCCGCCATCCACGAATATGCTCTCCCCCCTGCCGCCATCCACGAATATGCTCTCCCCCCTGCCGCCATCCACGAATATGCTCTCCCCCCTGCCGCCATTCACGAATATGCTCTCCCCCCTGCCGCCATCCACGAATACGCCCCTTTCCCTGCCGCCATCCATGAATATGCCCTTTTCCCTGCCGCCATCCATGAATATGCCCTTTTCCCTGCCGCCATCCATGAATATGCCTTTTTCTCTGCCGCCATCCATGAATATGCCTTTTTTCCCTGCTGCCATCCACGAATGTGCCCTCCCCCCCATCCACCAATATACCCTTCACCTCCCTCATCCACGAATATGCCCTGTCCCCTGCCGCCATCCACAAATATGCCCTCCCCCCTGCTGCCATCCACGAATATGCCCTCCCTCCCTGCCGCCATCCACGAATATGCCCTCCCCCTGCCGCCATCCACGAATATGCCCTCCCCTCTGCTGCCATCCACGAATATGCCCTCCCTCTCGCTGCCATCCACGAATATGCCCTCCCCTCTGCTGCCATCCACGAATATGCCCTCCCCTCTGCCACCATCCATGAATATGCCCTCCCCCCCTGTCGCCATCCATGAATATGCCCTCCCCCCTGCCGCCATCCATGAATATGCCCTCCCCCCCTGCCGCCATCCATGAATATGCCCTTGCTCCCCTGCCGCCATCCGTGAATATGGCATTTTCCCTGCCGCCATCCATGAATACGTCCTTTTCTCTGCCGCCATCCATGAATATGACCTCCCCTCTGCCGTCATCCACGAATATGCCCTCCCCCCTGCCATCTACGAATATGCGCCCCCTGCCCAATTCCCGTGAGAGCATATATCCACTCACGTGGATTGCAGTATATTGCGGTGGGGTGAACATGCGATATCCTCAAACAATAACGTTAAACTTCCACTTTCTAAGTACCTATTTGAGTTACCGGAAAGTTAGCTCTAGTTCTCGTTCCCGCCTTTTATTTTCCACCCACTGGAATATTTACTTTTTTTTTGGACGCAGTGTATGAAGTCTGCCACCGCTGACACATTGTTCAGTTTATTCCACTACTCTACCATTCGTACATAAGACCATCAGAATAAAGGATCTCCATGTAATCCCATGTACACCGTTATTATTGCAATCAAAGACGGCGCCAAGGCTGATCTTGAAGCCTTATAGTTTTCATCAGCTCTCCTCCCCCAAATATAATAATAATAATAATAATAATAATAATAATAATAATAATAATAATAATAATAAAACTTCAATGAAAATCTTATAGTGAACCAAAATCAACCTTACGTACAATAAAAAAAAAGAAATGCAAGCGAACGGATTTAACAATAAAACCAGAATACTGTTTAAACGCCCCCGCGGCCCGGTCCCAGGCCAGGCCTGATTTAAGAACCCATCGGTTACAGAGGTATACCTCCCTTTCAGACTTCTACGTGACATTTTTATGTGGTGGCGTGGAAGGAGAGGTAGTAGGGGAATATGGAGTTGAGGACTGGGGTAGTGGTGGGGATTCAGATATAGAGTGGTTTGTGGAGGAGAGAGATGAGTGTTGTGAAGCTGAGGAAGTGCCTTGGTGAGATGATTGGGCAGCAGGAATGATAGTGGTGAGGGCATTTACTCTGGGTGATTGATGTTGGGGTAGTGGGTAGGTGGGTGTGTCTGGGCGGGAGTGGGTGAATGTGAGGGGTAGGTTGATGGGACTGAGCGGCAGGGTGAATGGGTCTGGGCGTTAAGGAGAGCTGGGAGGGCGGGAGCGGGAAAGCAATAGGTATGAGGGCGGAGTGGAAGCGAAATGGGTGTGAGGGCTGGAGTGGGAGCAAAGTGAGTATGAGGGAGGGGGGGGGACTGAATGTGACCAAGGGTAGAACTGAGATGAAAATTTAGTTACAAAACACTGGAACAGTTTGGTTATTTGGTGTTTCAAACATTTTCAGTTTCTAACATTATCAAATTGCTACTGTCGTGACTAATTCCTCAGAATCACACAGCAAATAAAACTACTCAAAGTCTATATTTCACATTCAGCAAACCATATACACAATTCACTATCATGGACGAAAACTGCCTGCAAATTTAGAGGGAAAATATCTCCCACAATTTACACCAAAAGAAATGCTGAGTTTTTAAGCAGTAACCTGTGGGAAGAGTGGCATCCCTCCCAGACAAGAAACCACCACCCCTAGGAACAAGCCACTCAAGACTACTCACCGTGTTAAAGAGAATCAGCATCGCTGAGGAAGGAAGGGGGAGGGGGCTGATGATAGGTGGTAGCGAGGACAGGTGAAAATGAGGATAAGTGGGAATGAAAATAGGCGGAAACGAGGATAGGTGCGACTTATCGCTAGAGTGAGTGAGACAGTGCCGGAAAGTGGGAAGGACCGAGTGAAAGGACGAGTGTTAACGGAGGTTCAACAAGAATCCCTTTCAGTGATGCGACAGTCCAGCTGTTCCTTTAGAAAGCTCGCTCTACATTTGCATCATGAAAGAATAGCAAAGAGCTGTGCAAGCTTTAGTAGTTCT